TGAATCCCTAGCGCCGCTTAACGGAGTCAGCTGCCGTTACTTGTCCCAGCTTCTGCCAACCTAGCAGTTCGAAAGCACGTAAATAAATGCAAGTAGAAAAATAGGAACCACCTTTGGTGGGAAGGGGACAGCGTTTCGTGCACCTTCAGCGTTGAGTCATGCCGGCCACATGACTACGGAGTCGTCTTCGGTCAGTGCTGGCTCTTTGGCTTTGAAACAGATGTGAGCACCGCCCCCTAGAGTCGGGAACGACTAGCATGTATGTGCGAGGGGGACCTTTACCTAGCGACTGTTTGCAAACACGATGGTGACAAAACAGCAATTTTGTGAACGATCGTTGCACTGACAAATTTTTGTACGTCTGTAAAGCAAAGGAACGCTGAAAAAAAAAAGATTACAGGTAGTCCTCAACTTATGACAGTTCATTCAATGACTGTTCAAAGTTACAGCGGCGTTGAAAAAATTGACTTAGGACCATTTTTCACACTCATGACCATTGTAGCATCCCCAAATGAAACAAACAAAAGGTTAAAAAGTTACAATGTGTATGTCATTACTTACCAAGCACGTCAGTGGTGGATTGCAGGCGGTACGCCCCGGTACGGGCATCCCGGAGCCTGCCCGGAGCACCGGATACCGTTCCAGTACGGTGCTCCGGAGGGCCCACCTGCCCGCCCGAGCACCTTACCTGTCTTTTAAAGCTTCCGCACTTCCGCGCATGTGCATGGCACATAAAGCGCTCTGCTGAGCATCTGAAGCGTCGCGGAGGCGGTAAGACGCATGTGCACGCTGCGTGAGTCCATGTGGACGCCGCCGGGCCCGTTCCAGTTGGAACGGGATCCAGAACCCACCACTGAAGCACGTCTAAATTATATTATAGTAATCAAAATATATTTATAATCCCCAAGGCCTGTCGGTATCCGCTAATGTTTGGAGTTGAAAAATTTGATGGTTGCACTGTCCCGGGATCATGTGATTCCCCTTTTGTGACCTTCTGACAATCAAAGTCAACGGGGAAGCCAGACTCACTTAACAGCGGTGTTACTAACTTAAGAACTGCAGTGATTCACTTAACAACCGTGGCAGGAAAGGTCGTAAAATGGGGCAAAACTCACTTAAGAAAGGTCTCTCTTAGCAACGGAAATTTGGGGCTCAATTATGATAGTAAGTCGAGGACTACCTATTTGAGCATAGCCATGGTTTCATTTACTGACGGTTTTGCTTAAGGACTTATTGGCCACTCCCAATTGTGGTCACTAACTGAGAACTCCTTGTACATATAAAACAGCCATTGGATATTCTGGATTCGCTTGTTCACTTCGTGGCCATCTGATTCACTTCATGGTCGTAAAACGAACCCATTGTTTGCTGTAGGGTATTCTTGCCCAAACTTAAAAATTAAATGGTGGTTTTTAGCAAAAACATCGCCAAACGGAGCTGCTATAAATGTGGACTAGTTACCAAGTGTCTGAAAGGTGGTGTGTGTGTGTGTGTGTGTGTGTGTGTGTGTGTGTGTATGTATGTGTGTGTGTGTAAGTGTAAGAGAGAGAGAGACAGAGAGAGACAGAGAGAGACAGAGACAGAGAGACAGAGAGAACTGTCTGTTACAATTTTGGAACCCCATCAAGAGTCACCTTGGTGAGGTCTGGCATAGCTTCAGATGGTAACTAAACAACTGGGCATAATTCGAGGGCCACCTGTCCTTGCAGAGCTGATGGGTTCTCCAATTCTGGAGGTTTTTTCACAGCTACGTATCTGTTGTAACTGATTACGATGAATGGTTGTAGGAACTGGGCACGGCTAGTGTAATGAAGAGAAGGACCAGGGGAGACATGATAGCAGTCTTCCAATATTTGAGGGGCTGCCACAGAGAGGAGTGGGGGGTCAAGCTATTTTCCAAAGCACCAGAAGGCCAGGCAAGGAAGAATGGATGGAAACTGACCAAGGAGAG